GATATTTATTTTTATTTTATTTATTTATTTGATTTGCCAATTGTTTACAAGATAATAAGTATAAGTGTATACATAGTTGTGAATACATGAAATGGGTACATATAAGAAAAATAAAAGAATAAGAGAAACAATAGGACAGGGACGGTAGGCACGTTGGTGCGCTTATGCATACCCCTATATATATATATATATATATTTATATATATATATTGTAAATAAATTTTAATAGTATCTTCCAAGCAACCTGACATTCTATTCTCTCCCCCCGCCCAAGTAATCTTTAATCAGCAAATAAGGAACTTGAATATTTTAAAGAGTTCCTTCATATATCCAGATCATTTAAACATGGATGAAAATTTTAAAATATTAAACGCGAGCAGCCATTTTGACTAGTTATGGGATCTATGGTTTAATAGATCTGGACCGGACCAGTTTGGAAAAGGCACCATAAACCTTTGATACTTTTCAACCAAAAGCCATAAACAAAGAAAAACAAGGCTAATAGAAGGGCTTCTGATTTGGGGAGGAAAAAATTCCAGATACAATAGAGCTATTAAGTAAATGCATTAAGTAAAATTTAGGACCTCTTCTAAGAACTCTGAAACTAAAAAACTTCACTTTTTGGTTTCATAAAAGCTTTGTGAATATAGCACCACATTAATCCAAAAGGTTTTATAGTTCTATGTAGACATGGCAGTTAAGCTGATTGTAGGGTACCCAAACTGCAGGATGTATGTATCCTAACAGAAAGCATTAGGAGAATCTTGAAAAGGAATGACAAAATAAGAACCTTATTAATTAAAGCTTAAACAGTTTTTGTTGTTATTTATAGAAACTATGGCAATTAAGCCAGTTTAGCTTTGTAACGTAGCCATACTGCAAGACAGTTTGGTGAATCTTGAAAATGAATGACAAAATAGCTCACTGGTTTTGGAATGGCTTTGGTCTTGGCCTCAGGCGTCAGCGAAGGGATCCAAAAACTTGGTAGCTGTTTGGCCTTTTCTCCACTGCTGGGCCCAGGCTGAGGGTCTCCTATAATGCAGAGAAGAACAGTTATTAAGATCTACAGATTTCTAAACATTAATTATATATGGGATAACGTTGCACATCTAGCACTGAAATTCTATATACTCAGGGGTGTTATTGTAATACCAAGTGTCCTTATGCATAATTTTTATGCACTCATGTGCTATTAAAAAATTTTTAATGTTCCAGAGGCATACATACTCATC